TATATATTGCAGAGAGGGCTTTGGGCCATCACTGCTTGGCTCCCCTGTGGGTGGCTTCAGCCAAAAGAGGGCTTCCTGGTACTTCTGTGCTTCCTCCATCCTCCTCCTGAGGAATCCTGGCCCATTTCTCAAATGGGAGGAAGAGAACTTTGTTCTGGAGGTCCTAGTGATCTCACATGCAGAGATCCAGCAGAGAAGGTCTGAAAGTCACACCTTCCTGCCCCTGCCCCCCCACCCCCACCCACTGGGATACTCCAGGCCAGAGGAGAGGGAGGGTCGGGGCTGCAGTGCAGCGGGGGGGGGGCACAGCGTGCGAGAAGTGATGTGTGCTCCAGGCAGGCCTGTCGCCCTGCTGCGTCTGTCAGCCCAGTGTGATGGCTCCTTGGTTCTCCCTCTTGACAACTCCTTCGTAGTCTGAGAAGGAAAGTGATACACAGAGAAGGTGCTGTTGGCACCCAGCACTCCTGATGGCAGGAGGAGGCAAGGGGTGGGTGGGAAGCCCTGCGTGCACCTGGGTTATTGTGCGCTGACATTTCCCAGCAGATGGAAATGTGGGAGAGGGAGGTGTGTGTGTGTTATACACACTCTCCGAGCCTGTTTCTCAGCATGCCATCTTCTGGGCCATGGTCTCCCACCCGAGGGCCTTCTTCATTGTGTGGTGTGTGTGTATGTGTGTGTGCAAATCAAGGGCCCTTCTTGGACGCCTTTCCAGCATTCAGATCAGGATTGTGGGGAAGCCGCAGCAACAGAAGATGCAGAAGTAAAGGATGTGCAGGTTTTTGTAATTGTGGGGGGACAGTACTATGAGGTCAGTAGATGGGTTGGTGTGTATGTTCCCTTTTGGGTTTCAGGAAGCTTCTGTGGCTGGCCTTGGCCCCAAACACACCCGGTCCCACCACAGCCACCGTCACTACCCCAGCAGCCCTGGCCTCTGTATTTCGGGCTGTAACCATCAGATGGGAAGAGTTGCCCTGGAGGGCTGCCATCTCTTCTTTCCTGCTTTCTTTTGGGTTTGGGGGGTTGTTCTCTTTGGAAAGGCCTTGTCTGGTAGGGTGAGCTGCTTGGGCCAGACCAGGAGGGCCCCTGCTGCTCCGGGGTCCCCAGAATCCGGCCCCTGCTTCTTTTGTCACAGACCCCCTGCACGTCTCCCTCACTCCAAAGAAGCTGAAGACCGGCATTGGCAGCACCGTCATCTTGTCGTGCGCGCTTTCGGGCTCGCCAGAATACACTCTCCGTTGGTACCGCAACACGGAGCTGGTGGTGCCCGACGACTTCATCTCCATCCGCGGGATTAGCAACGAGACGCTGCTCATCACGGCTGCCCAGAAGAGCCACTCGGGGGCCTATCAGTGCTTTGCCACAAGGAGGGCCCAGACTGCTCAGGACTTTGCCACCATTGTGCTGGAAGGTCAGCTGCATGCCATGGGGAAAGAGGGGTTGGGGGAGTCGGTTCAGGAGCCCTTGCTGTGTAGCTATTGGGGGGTCCTGCAAGACAGGCAGGTGAAGGGGTTCCTCTCTGGCTGCCTGGTTCCCCAGGCCCCGCTGTGGAGAAATGTATCCAAAGGACTTTTCTATTTTTATTTATTTATTTATTTATTTATTTAAAATTATTATTTCAAGGGTAAGTTCTGGCTCTGTGCTCAGTGCTTGGCTGCTGAGGCCTTTCTCTCCAGGGCATTTGGGCCTCAAAGGGGCCAGGCAAAGGCTTTTTCTGCTGGCTCTTCTTTTCTGCACTGAGATGCCGAGGACTCTGTGGTGGGCAAAGGCGAAGGGCACAAGGGGAATCCTCCCTCCCTACGGCCTTTGCTTGAACCTTGCTGCTCTGTGGATCCTGCTATATATATATATATATGAGAAGGGCTGTTCCATGCGGACCAGGAACTGCTGGAATTCCTGCCTCGTGGTGGGCCGCTGGAGGTGCAACGCTCATTTAAAAAGGGCTTGTCCTGGAGGCCTGCTTTCTGTCCATGGGATATGAGATGCCTTTTGTGCAAACTGCTTTCCCACTCTAGCCTGCATTATGCTGAGCCTGTATTTACCTCAAAGTATAAACTGACAAGGGACGTGGTGGCGCTGTGGGCTAAACCGCAGAAGCCTGTGCTGCAGGGTCAGAAGATCCGGCAGTCGTAAGATCGAATCCACGCAACGAATGAGCACCCGTCGCTTGTCCCAGCTCCCGCCAACCTAGCGGTTCGAAAGCATGCAAATGCGAGTAGATAAATAGGGACCACCTCGGTGGGAAGGTAAACAGCGTTCCGTGTCTAAATCACACTGGCCATGTGACCACGGAAAGATTGTCTTCGGACAAAACGCTGGCTCTATGGCTTGAAGAGCGGGATGAGCGCCGCCCCCTAGAGTCGGACACGACTGGACAAAAATTGTCAAGGGGTACCTTTACCTTTACCTATAAACTGACAACTGAAACAATAATTTCTTAAGAAACATATACAAAAATTCAAATGAGCCCAGATCAGCTACTTAATAGGCATGGCATAAATTCAAAATTACAAGGAAAGTGTCGATACAAAACATAACCACAGTTAGAAGGTAAAGGGACCATGCTTTATCTACTAACACCATGTGCTGAAGGTGTTGCTACTCTCCTTGAAAGGGCCACCCCTGTCTCCCTTAAAGGCCTGCCTAACCAGATGCAAAGCACCCCTGCCCAGAAGAGGGGCTTGCGCTCAACCCTCCTGTCCTCCCAAGGTGACTAGGCTGAGCTATGGAGCCTCTAGTAGCGCTTTGTCCTCCTTGGGGCTTCCTGTTGAAATATTTTGATTCTTCAGATTTCCTCCTAGAACCAGTTGTCATCTGAATTGCCAGCAAGCTGTCTGTATTAATACCCATATTATTTGGTAAGGCTGAATCCTGCTAAAGTTATCCAGGGTTGTTTGGTTCCGACTGCCCAAAACCCTAGAACCCAGCGGAGTGCCCCAGCACAGCTGCATGGTGGGAGGCTGGACGGAGCTCTTGTGGGCACCACAGATAGTTCATTTATGGAATGGCTTGCCACAGGGTGTGCTGATAAAGTGGGATTTTCTTTGTGGAGGAAGAGAAGGTTGCTAGCCGTCATGGCCTTCTTACCTAACCTCATGTGCAGGCGCCATAGGCAGGGTTGCTTTCTAGGCAGGGGTCTGATCTTTCCTGAGACAGTGGATGAGGAGCTGCAGGGATAAACCAGAGACCAACACCTACCTCAGGTTTGATAGAGTGCAAACCGCCCGCCCCCCCCCATCTGTCCTGCTTCGTCTGCCGTGTGACTTCCCACTGTGTGCCGGCCTGGGACAAAGGCAGTAGCCGTCAAGGGCCGCCCAGAGTTGCTCTCTGATCTAGCCTAGCCCCTGCACTGCTGTTGCTCTGGCATTCTGAGCAAAGGGGTGGGAAATGGGGGCTGCTGGGGGTGGAGGTGGAGCTTGGTGGTCTCGTTGCCTGTCAACTGCTCTGATGGGGTGGATGTTGAGCCCATAAGCCAAAGAGATGTTTGTGACATCCTGGTGGGGAGAGGAGGGAGGGAGGGTCTCTGCTGAAGTTGGACCGTCCCTCCTCCCAGGCCTTGCCCAGGGCTCTCGGATTGGGGTCCATGAAGCATCACCCCCAGTTGTCCTCTCAGAGAAGACAAAGTGGAGGTGAGAAAGGGAGGGCCCGGCATTGTGGACAACCAGCCACCGCCCTCTCTTCCTTCCTCTTCTCCTAGATGGGACTCCCCGGATCATTTCATCCTTCAGTGAGAAGGTGGTGAACCCAGGTGAGCAGTTTTCTCTGACGTGCGCAGCCAAAGGGGCCCCTCCGCCCACCATCACCTGGGCCCTGGACGACGAACCCATCCAGCGGGACGGCAGCCACCGCAGCAACCAGTACACCATGTCCGACGGCACGACGGTTAGCCACATGAACGTCACCAGCCCGCAAATCAAGGATGGAGGGGTCTATCGCTGTGCTGCGCGGAACTCAGTGGGCAGTGCCGAATACCAAGCGCGAATAAACGTAAGAGGTGCCTGTCTACTTTTAAATCTCAGAATAGGTTCTTCTCGTTTTGGGGTTGTGACTTGGGTTTGATAGAGTGTGCACGCCCACGCACACATATGTTCCGCTTCCTCTGCCCTCTTTCCTACTCCTGAAGGAGAGGCAGCCCAGACATTCACAGAGGATCGACCTAGAGCTGGTTCTAAGTTTCTGCCAGGATTGGATTGAGGCTGGCGTAGGGATGGGGCAGCCAAGACATGCAAGAGGACCAGGGAGGGAGGAAACAGAGTCTCTGTGGAGCACAGCCTGCGAGGGAGCTGGAACTAGGGTGAGGGAGATGCCCTGTGCCCCCCCACACACTCCCTCTGCCCCTGCAGGGAAGTCTGTTTCTTGTTCATGCCAGCCCCCATGGTGCTTCTGAAGATGAATCTTACAAGGCAACAGAGCAAGGTGGCTGCAGGTAACCCATTTCCTCCTCGGGGGCTTCTTCTCTGGTGAGGGGTGGGGATCAGGTAGCCAGGGAGCACTGACTCTGAGTCAGGAAGACAGATTGGCCAGTCATAACTGGACCTCTTCTCCTGATCACCACCTTTTCCAGGGTAGGTGTGAGAGCAGAGTAATCAAGGTACTGGAACTCTCGAGAGGAAAAGTAATATTTTCACATTTATTTAGTTTTGGTTTTCTTCTCACCCCTGGCCCTCAGGACAATCAAGCTTCTGTCAAGTGCAGCACACCGCATGCTTAAGCAAAATAAAAACCTTTAAAAGAGTGAGAGAGAGAGAGAGAGAGAGAGAGAGAAGGGTTGCTTATATTTTAAACTAGCTCATCCTTCTAATTGCTTGCAGCTCTTTTTGCTGTTGGAGCCTGCCGGGTCCTGGGGCCAGGAGAATGGCCTCAGGGCCTGCATTGCTGGTCTGCTTTGAATCGTGTGAAAGGTATTTTAGACCAATATCATCCAGTGAGTATAGCACAAGAGTACTCAAGTCTCCTAAGTATAAAAGAAACTCTAGCACATTCTGATAAGCTCCCAGAACCAACCACACCCTATTCACAGCCAGGTGGACAGGACAGCCCCAAAGGTGGTGCCATGTGCCTCTTGGTGATGCAGGGAGGGCCATGGAAGAGCAAAGAGCAGCCTCCTAAGGGATGTTCATCAGTGCCACAGGTCAGGGCTGCCCATGGCTGAGGCACAGAGAGCGGCCTTCCGTTTTCCCCTTTGCTTTCCCAGTCCCCAGAGGTGTGTGCACTCTCTGGTGTTCCAACCCCCAGCTTTTTAGAATTAACCTAGCCTTCCCTTTCCTCCCCTCCCACCCTCTCTTCCTTTCAGGGCCCCCCAGCATCCGTGCAATGAAAAACATTACTGCGGTGGCCGGCCGGGACTCCTTCATCAACTGCCGCGTGATTGGCTACCCCTATTACTCCATCAAATGGTACAAGGACTCACTGCTGCTGCCCGACAACCACCGCCAAGTGGTCTTTGAGAACGGCACCCTCAAACTGATGGACGTCCAGAAGGGAATGGATGAAGGGGAGTACTTGTGCAGTGTTCTCATCCAGCCCCAGCTCTCCATCAGCCAGAGCGTCCATGTCACGGTCAAGGGTGAGTGAATGCGGTGGCCGCAAGGCAGGAGCCTTGGCAGGCCAGGCCGGAAGCTCCCCGCACGCTTCGGAGCAGAGGGCTCTGGGGCTCCAGCCTGGCTTCCTGAAGTGGGGCTGTGCCCCGGCTCCTCTTCCACCCACCCCTCGCTGCCTCCAGAAGGCTTTGTCCAGCCAGGGGGCAGCCAAGAAGGGTTTGCCTGGCAAGGGTGTTGCTGTCATGGCTCCCTCCCTTCCTCCCCCTCCCCTGCCCCGCCTGCCCTTAGTCCCAGAGTATCCATTTCCCATGACAAGCAGTGGAGCAGAATGCATAGTGTAAACATGCCGTATTAAAACAGCTAACCCTGTGCTCAGAGCACCTTTGTTGCTGGTTTTCAGCGTGTGTAGCTCTTTAAAAAATCATCCCCTCTGTCCTCTGAGCAGCAGAACATCGTAAAAGCTTCTCCCGCCCATCAATTATTCAGCCCCATCCAAAGAGCCATCAGCCCTAATGAATCGCAGAGGAGGCAGCAAGCGGCCTTGCCTTTCCAGCCCAGTGGCTTGCCGAGATTGCGCTCTGTGCGAGCGAGGCGGCGAGACCCACTGCAGCAGCAGCAGCAGCAGCAGCCCCTGCCAGCCTCTGGATTGGCCTTTAGTGGGGCATAGTGGCACAGGGAGCCAGGATGGGCTGCGGCTGCTTCTGCCATCCCACACCCCTCCCTGGCCCCCTGAGCTTGCTGGAGCCTCTTCTGTCGCCTCCTCTTGCTGCTGCTGCTGCTGCTGCTGCTAACAGTGGCTGTTGTTGTGGCTGAGGCTTGGGCTGGGCCCCCAAGAGCCTTTCTGTGGCCAGAGAGGCGGCTGGGCCACCAGCTCTGGGTTGCCTGAGTGTGTGCACATGCCTCCGTGTGCCAGGGAAGAGTGCTGGACCTTTCCCACATCCTTTTGTTGTGACACCAGCAGAGCTCTCCAAAGCTTCTGAAATAGAACAGGGTCTGCTGAAGCAGTCCCACTTCATTTTGCATCCCTTACACACACACCCTTCCTCCTTTTCCTCCACCCTCCCCCTTCTTTTCCTTGCAACTGTGTCCCGGGTGACTCCCGGAGCGCAAGCAGCCTTCTTCTGCAGCCCGGGACCCTTTCAGTGGGGGCGGCATCTCCCACGTCAGCACCTTCCGGATGCTGCCAGGAGCTCTGTTCCCCAGAACCTCGGTGGGTCGCAGTCTCTTGCCTCCTTAGTAGAGACCTTGGCATGCAGGCCTCCTCTTGATGCTGAACAGAAGAACTGGGGCTCCACCTGGCAGAGCAAGACCTGCAGCTCCCCTGTTGAGCCCTTCCCCAGTAGGGACCTTAGGCAAGCCCTTGTGTCAGGAGCTGTGGGGACACCCTGTGTTTCAAACAAGTGCTGGGCGTGTATCAGCTCTTCTGCATCTTGCTGTGGAGCAGGTGTGCAGGGGCTTGTCGTGGCCAAGCTGTGGGAACTCATGGCTTGTGCTCTTTAGACAAGAGCTGCTCAGCTGCTAGGAGGTGTGTGCAAAGCACTGCACAACAGCCCTGTAAAGCAGGCACATGCCATTCTTTCCTTCCCTCCGTCTGGAAGAGACTGGCTTGCCTTCAGCTACACATTTGACTGCTTTCCCTGCTTGGCTCTTGGCTGCACACAGAGCGGCTCTCTCTCTCTCTCTCTCTCTCCCCCCCCCCACTTTCTTCATTAGAAGGGGAACTGAGACTAAGACGAATCCAGCTGGGGGGTGGGGGGAGGGTCTCCCGGGTCCAAGAGCCATTTGCTCCCTGCGGAGCCTGCTGCAGGGAGCCCTGCCTCATCTCTCCTGGGTGTTTGCTGACCCACCCACTTCTCCCCTTCTCTTGGCAGTCCCTCCACTCATCCAGCCCTTTGAGTTCCCTCCAGCCTCCATTGGGCAGCTTCTCTACATCCCATGTGTGGTCTCTTCGGGGGACATGCCCATCCGCATCACCTGGAGGAAGGACGGTCAGGTGATCATCTCCGGCTCAGGCGTCACTATCGAGAGCAAGGAGTTCATGAGCTCCCTCCAGATTTCCAGCGTTTCCCTGAAGCACAATGGCAATTACACCTGCATTGCTACTAACGATGCAGCCACTGTCAGCCGGGAGCGGCAGCTTATCGTGCGAGGTGAGCATTCAGAAGAAAAGGCGGAGGGGGTGTCCCCTCCTATAGCCATCCTGTACACACACGCGGCCTGGAGGCCCAAGATGGTCCCGGTCGTCTCCCTGGAAGCAAGCCCGGGCGATCGGACTCCCAGTCAGCTGTCTCAGGCAGGGGCTGTTGCCCCTCTCGTTGTTCTGGAGGCTGTGAGGGACAGAGTGGGGGTGGCTGGCTGGAGGAATGGGTGCAGCAGGAAGAGGCCAACAGGGCTGCGAGCCTTCTTTCTTTCTCTCCAGGGACAGCTGAGAGGCTTGGCCTGCTTCACCTCCTGCCAGTTGTCCCCTTCCTGAGGCTCATGGGCAGGAAACCCATGTGAGAGTCCTGTGGCAGGCCTCTCCAGGGCGCGCCTCCCCCACCCTGCCTCACTCTCTACTAGCAGCTCCAGTTTCCCTCGTATTCAGGCATCTTTCCCCCCTCCCCCGGGGAGGGGGGCTACCCTAAGGCTCAGAGGCGGGCTCCCTCCAGCTCAGGCTGCAGGAAGAGAGGATGCCCTTGAGGGCAGCCTCTGGGCTTCCTCCTGGCTGACAGCCCTGCCCAGCTGTGGTCCAATCCACCCACCTACCTACCCTCCTCTCTCTCATTCTGTGGTCAGAGTCCCCATAGGGGCAGGCGAGAGCTGGGCCAAATGAAACAGCATGAGTTTCAACAGGAAAGGAGGAAAAGGAGGAGGCAGGAAAAGCCAGAGGCTCCTCGGTCAGGGGAGCGATCGCCGCCTTGGCCTGGCTTGGCCGTCACCCATGCGGAAGGGATCTCGGGGCTCTTTGGAGGCATCCACAGTGTGTTGCCGCTCCCCCCCCCCAAAAAAGGGGTCAGTGGAATAACTTGGTTGCGTCCCAAGAAGGCCTCGTGCCCAAGTCAAGGGAGGTCTTCCGGCCATGTGGTCTGAAGACAAACCGGGACGTGCCCAGAGGAGAAAAAGGGCCGGAATCAGAGCCCTGTGAGGAAGAGCTGGGGGAGCGAAGTGTGTTTTGCTGCAGAAGGGAAGAGGGAGAGACGAAGGGCTACCCTGTGCAAAATAGAACCAGCTTTGCCTTGTAACGTCTTTCAGTGGGATGCAAAATAATTGATTCAGGTGAGGTGAAAGGAGATTTTGCTTAGTCATCGGAAAAAATCCTCTTGTCGGCAAGAGCGATTCAGCAGTTCAGGAAAGGGCTCACTGGGCGCGTGTCCTTCGTGGACAGCTTTGAACTTAAGAGCGACCTCCGTGGTCCATTCAGCTGAGCTGGGGAGTGGTAGGTGCTGAGCCCTGCCTAGGCAGCATCCACCCCCCCCCCGGTCCGGTAGGGACCCTTCCTTAGCCTGTGCCCTGCTCTGTCCTGACTGCCTGCAGGAGCAGCCTCATGACCCGCTCCAAGGGGTCAAGGTTTGCGTCAAGAGGCCGCTCTGCCCCACAGTCTTCCCTTTGTGCCCCTCCTGATCCTAAACCCTTTCTCCTTGAGACCAGCTGCCTCTCACACGTAGGTCACTTTGGGTAGCGAAAAGCATGGAGGCTTCAGCTTTTCAGGCAGAAGACAAAGCTCTAGCCTTTGGGTGGCAGGGGAGCCGATCTGAGGAGGTCAGCACGAAGAGAGGCTCCCCAACAAGCGGGCAGGCGGCCTCTGGGCCAAGGGAGCTCTTCTTCCCTGGAGCCACTGAGCAGAGGCTGGGCACGGGGGGCGGGGGGGCACACAGAGATCCTACCCCCAGGGCTTGCCCTGCAGGAGGGTGGATTGGATGACCTCCACAGGCCTTCTCAACTCTCGAGTGAGAGCTGCATCCCAGTCCTGCAGCTTTTGTCTCTTTCAGGGAATGGGGATGGGGATGGGGGGGGTCCCCTCACTGATCCCAGAGTCATCTCTAGCCTCATTTGGAGACTCACTGAAGACTCACTGTCCTACTTGGGGAATGCTGACCGTGTTGCCCTCCACCCTCCGTGCCCTGAGACATGGAAGGCTTTTGGGGGCTAGGTGGGGTGTGGGGATGTCCTCACTTGTGGTCTACGCATGCACGTTCACACATGCCGTTCTGGGTCAGCAGGGAAGAGTTGACCCTCTTAAGGAGAAGGCGCTTAGGGACAGAAGGGCTAGCATGAGAGAGAGAGAGGAGCTCTGCCCGAAGGCCCGAAGGCACCTCTTAGTGGCGACACTAGTTCTCTGGAACTGATTGTTTTTTGGAAACCAAAATCTGCAGAGTTTTCCTCCAGGGGGGAGACAAGGGGAAATGGAGGCATCCTGTGAGTTCAGCCAGGGAGTGCAGAGAGCAGGCGAGGGGCGCATCAAGGTATCCCCCCCCCAAGATGAGGAGACAAAGGCTGGGGGGAGGGGGGTGGGTTTCTCAGGCTGCTCTTCCAATCTTGACCCCCCCGGCTCCCCTTCCTTGCAGTCCCTCCTCGCTTTGTCGTCCAGCCCAACAACCAGGATGGGATCTATGGAAAAGCAGGCGTCTTGAACTGCTCGGTGGATGGGTACCCCCCTCCTAAAGTTATGTGGAAGCATGCTAAAGGTATGTGCCACATCCCCAGCGTGCGCCCTCCCCCGCCGCCACCATCGTGGCCTCCTGCTGCTGCAGGAGGCTTTCCTCCTCGTCCTAAATGGGAAGGGGCAGGTTTGGCAGCCTTTCGGTATGACTGGAAAGCTGTGGAAGGGCAGGGGGCTGAGTCCTCTTGCAGGCGTGCTCCTCTAGGGAACACTGTCTGATGCAACTGCGGGGTGGGTGGGGGCTCCCTCTGGGTGCCTCCCCAGCAAAGGGATCTAACTAACCAGTTGCTCTGGGCCCAGCAGTGACTCTGTTGGGCTGGTGGGAGTAGGAGTGGCTTTGTGACCCTGCAGAAGGCTGCAGGGAATTCCTGGCGGGTCCCTGAGTCAGGCCAGGAGTGCCCAAGGGCCTGCTCTTGCTTTCCTTCCAGGCAGTGGGAACCCCCAGCAGTACCATCCAGTCCCGCTCACCGGCCGCATCCAGATCCTGCCCAACAGCTCGCTCCTCATCCGGCACGTGTTGGAAGAGGACATTGGCTACTACCTGTGCCAGGCCAGCAACGGAGTGGGCACTGACATCAGCAAATCCATGTTCCTCACGGTGAAGAGTAAGTCGGAAGGGGGCCTCGGGGGCCTCTCTCGGAGCAGGGCAGCCTTTCCAGCCAGGGGGGTCCAAAGCCGAGCGGCGTTCTTCTCTCTGTAAAGGTCACGCTAGACCCCGTTTGCTTCTGCCCGGAGAGAGAGAGAGAGGGCGGGGTCATCTCCAGGGCCCACAGCCCCCCCCCGACATTAGTGGAAGGTCCCAGAGATCCTGCTTGGCCTCTGGTTTTGGCCCCTCCTCGGAGGCCGCCCTCAAGAGCGAGCAGGCCTTTGCCTTTTCTTGGTTCCCTTGCAGACCTTTGCAGAAGGAGAGGCCATCCGACTGCTGCCTCTGGGGGGGCTGCCTTCTCGCTTGTGGGCCGTGAACTCCTTCCTCTCTGCTGGCTTTCAGCAACCCGTGTGCATTGATTCCTGTTCCCTCAGGGACTAGATTCCCTCCCATGATCAAAAAACACTTTGTCCTTAATAAAAACAGGCAATCAATCTACATCACGGCAGTGTTGGCGGAGAGAGGAGGCAGAGAGCGTGGCCGCTGCCTGAGGGATGCCAAGGGTTTCCACAACTCATTTCCTGGTGGGGTTGGACTAAGGCCGCCCTGGGCAGGCGAGATCTGGGCTTCTCAGCTTCCCCAGAGCTGATGCAGTGGAACTGGGAGCCCTCTGGCCGAGTCCTCGCCTGGAGATGGAAAAAAGGAATGGGGCCAGACAGATGCGGGGGGGGGGAGGAAAGCTGTGTTGCCAGAGGCAGGGAAGCCATTGGAGGGGGCGTGTCTGAAAGAATGGCTGACAAAATCAGGGTGTGTGTTTGGGTCTGAAGTCCCTGTGACCCAGCTCTGCACACAGTGCTCAGCACTGAGTATGCAACCACAACTTCCCCGCACCTTATGGGGTCTGATTAGGGCTAACAGCTGCCCCCCCAATCCGATGTCTTCGGGAGCAATGGAGCAGCACTCCTTTGTTGTTTCCTTCACGGCGACACACACACACACACACCCGGCTGGCTGGCTGGCCGTTCTCTGCCTTGGAACCCCACCCTGCATGCCCACCCTGCTTCATTTCAATCCCTGTTAAATCCAAGGGGGGCCAAAGGGCTGATTTGCTCAGCTTTTCTGGCCTGGGGCTGGATTTTATACCTTTGACAAGCTCTGTTCTGCTGGTGGGTTTATTGTTCATGTATTTCTTACATGATTTTCTATTTAGCTGAAAGCTGCCCATGTAACCATGATAAAAATAAAAGAACAAATACAAAAGGAAAAAAATGTGATGGCACCTTAAAGACAAATGGTTACATTTTAAGATGAGATTTTGTGGACAAGTCCAGTTCCTCAGAAGAGTGGTTTGCCAGGAAAGAAGGGGAAGACCGAAAAGCCCTCCTCTGGGGTCCTCTTGGGGCTGCAGCATCGCCCAGGCCGGGCCTTCCTCCTGGGGCCAGCTCTCTCCCAAGGGGCGATGTTGGCCTTCACATCCCTTGGGACAGCGCAGAGCTGGGGGGGGTGAACCCGTCTGCTCTCCCTCACCCCCAGCTTGCACTGTCTCAGGCTCACCCCTTGTCACACCAGCAGTGAGCAGGTGCAGGAAGGCAGGGCAGAGCGTTCCTGAAGAGGAACCCCCCCCCCCCCGCTGCCTCCAGCAGCATAACTGATTGCTTCCATGCAGTTTGAATTAATCTCATGCTTCAGGTGAAATGCAGCTAATCAGTGTAGACAAGAAGCTGAAATGGGTGCAGCCCAATTAACATCACAGAGCCAGCCCTCCAGAAAGCCTCCCCCTCCCCTCCATCCCCCGCCCAGGTTGGAGGAGCAGCAGCAGCCAGCCCTGCCTTTGCCACCCCGTGGTCTCCTCCTTCCTTTGTTGGGGCCTTATCTCAGCCCACCAAAGGGAATCAGCCTCTTGTCTGTGACATGTTAACAAGGAGCAAAAAGGAAGCGCTTGAAAGGAGAACAGGGTTTTCCACGATGGGGCGGGCGGGGGAAGTGTGAAGGAACCGGCTTCAGGGAGCACCTTCTGCTGAGATGCCTTGGCAGGGGCTTGCTTGTTCCCGGGGAGGCTGTGCGCAGGGACCTCCTTCCAAAGCAGAGCCCTCCGTGGCCGTGCTGCACGGTCCATCCGGTTGCTTCCCGCTCCGACCCATGGCCTTCTCAACAGAATGACCAAAGGCGTGAGCTTGCTACCACCACGTCTCCAGGAGCAGCACAATCCTCCTTTCTATTCTAATCCACCCTAAGGCAGCCCCCAGCTGGGCCAGGCTGAGGGAGGGACTGGATGAAGAGAGGCAGAGCTCATAAGGAGACCCTCTGGAGAAGCCAAAGAACTACAGGGACTCCAAGCTCTTCTTGGGTTACCTTCCGGAGCGAGCGGAGGGCTGCGACGTGAGTGGAAGCGTTTTGGAGGAGGAGGAGGGCTCCAGGGGACGAAAGGGAGACCCAGCACAAAGGCAGCCTGCTTGTGAAACCTCCTGCTGTATTATTCTGCCCAGGTTCTTCTGAGTGAATTATGCAAATCTCTTGATGGAAAAATATTCCAGGGCTCCTCCTTGAGAGTGTAAAACCTTAGTCAATAATTCATACCCGCCTGTCTCTGGCTGAGGCTTTTCTTCATTATAATCTGCACGTGGTTATTTGTCTTTCACATTTTATTGTCTATCTGGGTGTAATACTATGCATTATAAAATTTATCTGCTTCATTATTTTATTATTGCCCGTTATAGAATCCAAGGCAGGATTGCTGCCTCGGCCTGCAGTGCCTGCTGCTGAGTGTCCCTCGATGGGACAGAGGCACCTGGCCATCCCCTGAAGGAGCTGAGACCTCTCGCCTCCTGAATGGGGATATGGACAAGGGGAGGAAAGGGGAACCTGAGATCTTGGCCCCACCTGCAGAGAAGATGTTTGCAGGCTTCGTTGCCCCTGCGTGTGTGCCAACCGGAGGGGTGTGATTCATGCTGGGGGCTGGCCTGGATTTTCTCCTTTGTCTGCTTGTTTGCTGGGCTCTTTGCCTCTTGCGGTTGGGGTTCCAGCCTGGACCCCGGCACTTGGCATGCTGATGGCGGAAGGGACATTTGTGGGACATGCCAGGAGGGAGGATGGGTGATGCTGGAGCTGAGCCAGGTGTCTTTCCTACCCTGATACTGCTGTGTGTTCGATCTGTCAGTGTGAGCCATAATTTTGCATGTCATCTTTCATCTTTGAGTGTGGTTAGCTACCTTGAGCATGGTTTGGAGTGGATGCCTTGGGCGCCACGGATGCGGCCCTGCACTGTGAGCTCTCAGTCAGTGGCTTTCCTTCAACTCCTGGCTTGGAAGCTGGAGCATCCTGGAGCCTTTGCTCAGGGCAAAAGCCAGTGTCCAGTCATGCAGCTTTTCTCCTAAGCGGGAGTTAGGGAGCTTCCCACACAGACCTCCTTGAGTGACCTGTGAGCTTTCCTTTCTGAGCACTTTGGGGGAAAAAAGAGGGAAGCCATTTTTCTCCCTTTCTCCAGTGATGGATGCAACACCCTGGAGGAGTGAGCCGGTGGCAGCCAGCTTTTCACTCTTCCAGCACCTATGGGCTGAGGTCCAGTAGCTGCCCTCGGTTTGTGTCTCAACCCCCTTATGGCAGGGGCACCTCCAAAGAGAAGGAGGTTCTGGATTCTCATGTACCATGTGAAACATGCCTATAAGCATGTGTATCTTTGGAAAAATAAGCCAAGAAAAGGAGAAGTTTTGTTACATGAAAAAGGACTGCCAAAATGCAGTGGAACTGGACATGGACTGGGAGGGAGGGAGGGAGTCCCTGTGAGTGTGCATTTCCTTGAGAACGGATTTTCCTTCCTGGGTCTTTCAGACACTCTGGTGAGCAGCTGATGAACCAGGGCAACATGGGTCCCTTCCTCCCTCCCTCGCCATCTCTGGATTTTGCCCATGGGGTACAGCCTGTGCCCTGGCTCCTCCTCCAGCAGCCTTGGAAGCTTCCGTGGCCCCCCTGCTTACACCTCATTCTGGCTGGTCCCCTGCACCCACTCTGCTTCTTTTTTTCACACTGCAGTCCCCGCCATGATCACCTCTCATCCCAACACGACCATCGCCATCAAAGGGCAGCCCAAGGAGCTGAACTGCACAGCCCGCGGCGAGCGGCCCATCATCATCCGTTGGGAGAAGGGGGACACGGTCATTGATCCCGACCGCAACATCCGGTATGCCATCACCACCAAGGACAATGGCGACGAGGTCATCTCCACCCTCAAAGTGAGGAGCAGTCTAAGCAGGCAGGCAGGGAGGGGAGGGGAGGGAAGGGCAGGTGTGTGTGTGTGTGTGTGTGCGCGCGCGCGCGCGCCCTGGACAACCTGCTGTGCGGGCAGGTGCCCCACCAGGGCTCGGATTGCCCAGGATGATAGCCTTGTGCCCCAGAGGAATGGTCCGCCCATGGGGAGGGGGCGGATGGCCCGGCTTTTTGACGTCTGGCACTTGCCGAGCCTGGGTGTGGGCTGGTGCTGAGATGTCCTCTTGCCTGCAGCTCAAACCGGCCGACCGAGGGGACTCCGTGTTCTTTTCTTGCCACGCCATCAACTCTTATGGTGAAGACAGAGGACTCATTCAGCTGACTGTCCAAGGTATTGCTTTTCTGGGGTTGGGAAAGGGCGGCTGTGTGTGGGTGTGTTTTGTCATCCCCACCTGCTTCCCCCTGAGGTGCGGAAGGTGCTGCTGCTCTTAATTAGAATGGCTTCCCTTCCCTTGGGGGTGACAGCCACCAGTTGACCCACTCCCTTTAAATGTACCTGCATGGCATTGTTTGCATAATGGCAAGGTCCTGTGGCAGTGGGTTCCTTAGACTAACTCTGCACTCTTTCTACAGGTGCCTTAGGCACCTGTTTAGCCCGAATTCTTACGGTGTTTTGAGAATATCACTGGCTTGATGATTCTTTACACACCCTTTCTTTCTTTTGTCCTCTCCCTTCTTTGATGGTTCAACCCCATCATTATAGTCTCTCCCATGTTTTACGTAGGTATTTCATGGCAAAAGGAAGGCAAATAACAATAAATCTGCCCTTTGCTTCTTTGTCCAGCTTCATGGTTATTTTTATTTCAGTTTTCAAGAAAACCTGTAGAATTTGGAAATCCTGCGTGCAGTGTGCTAGACAGGTCTTCCTCCCTGCCTTCCATGACCTGGGCCTGTGGCTTTTACTCTGTGGGTGCATGGATACATGTGTGTGCGCGCGTGTGCGTGCGTGCGTGCGTGCGTGCGTGTGTGTGTGTGTGTGCGCCTCCTTTTTGCCTCTTCCTGTGGTGAGAAGCAAGCAGACAGGCAGGTCTGTGTTAATGGGGGTAGGGGTTCTTACCTCTTGCTGATTCTGCTCTCCTCCTCCTCTTAGAGCCACCAGACCCTCCAGAACTAGAGATCCGAGAGGTAAAGGCTCGTAGTATGAATCTGCGCTGGACGCAGCGGTTTGATGGCAACAGCATCATTACTGGCTTTGATATTGAGTACAAGAACAAATCGGGTGAGCAACCCATGGCAGAGCTGGGCCTTTGCTGCCACTGGTGAAGTCGGTGCTGGAAAAGCAGGCCTGAGGGTGCCAGTCCAGGGCCTTCAAGATGCTGCATGTGTGGGACCTCCGGGAAGCAGGCCTGTCCTTCTTCTGCCACTTTCCCCAGCAAGATTCTTCCTCTGGATCTCTGGAATCGATCCACACCCATTAGTTAGAGAGATTCTGGCCGCATTGCCGACTTTCACAGCGTTGTTATAAGGCCTTCCCCACAGGTTCAATGTTTGGGATCCTTTCTTGCCTGGGTCCCATTTCTCGTGACCGATGCTGGAATACCCCACTTGGGGGCCTGGGCCACTTTTCAAAATGCAAATAGAAAAATGTTGCAGATACGAAACCCATTGCTGAGGTTTTGCGGCCATGCTTGTTGTCTCCCTTTCTTCAATTTGAGCGGGAGGGTCTCGGGGGAGCAGCTTCTGGCCCTTTTAAGCTTCACTTTGCCTGGATCTCGGTGTAGGAGAGAAGGAAAGTATTCTGAAGAGGCTCC